TTCCAACAAGTTTCTGTCAATGGCATTCAGCATCTGGACATGGTGATGCTCTTTTACCAGCATCCATGGCTTCCTTTCCACCACTTTTACCAGAAAGAATCCTCCTTTTCAGTTTCTACTAATCATCAAGGTTACTGCCTAATCATCGTGAAGAGTAACGGGATTTAGGTGTATCGATCGATTATCGTTCGATCTCAACTGGGCAGGTGGGTGTTTCCTCAACACTTACCAGTTACCACCTACAGGCTACAGTGTTTTTCATTTAAAGCATGAAAAATTAGTAAGATTAAAGAAGGGTAAAGTTGTTCTGCCTTACAAAGCTTCACCGCGTTCCTAACTTGCATCGAATGTGAACCGAAAAAAAATGGACCTCCATTCGCTCTATCCCTAACTGGAAACCCGAGCTCCAACTCCGCAGTTGGATTCTGCTACCGAGTATAAAGATTCATTCAGGCTTGTTTTTGAAGCCTGAGAATATTTATCTCTATTTACAGATTAACAGAGGCATAACATGAACTTGTAAGAATCTATATTATAAGACTCCTTACTCTATTGCTTCCTAAAATTATAGAATCACCTTCTGAGTATAAACAACTGCTCTAAATGCGTCCTTCTTCTTCCACAATGGTTAGAATTCCGACTTCCATGTCATGTTATCGGTACTGTCATCATCGGGATTTTCCAGAGCAGCAACTTTAGCTCGGTATGCTGCTAGTGCAATTGCACCTTTTGCCCTTTCATCCTGAGGGAGCTCACTGGCTTCACTGATGGAACATGATCTCAAGTCAGCTGGGGGGATGAAACAGTCTATTGATAACCCCGGGATGTTGAATGCAACCTCTTCGATTGTCCACGCTTCTTCCATCTTCGTTTTGGTGTGACTCATGGCCATCTCACCGAATCTGAAGAGGGTGACCACAGAGCGGCCAGAGTGCGCGATCATGATACCTTCAACAGACCGGTAATCGTCGAGAAACGAATTGATTGTGGTTTCCCAGTAAACTGCATCACCGCCGTTGGACTGAATGCGGGTCAGATGAGAATCTTCCATGTACACCAGCAATCCTGTTTTCTGGCTGAAGTAGCCAAACAAGACATGCCTGATAATCTCTGCCGGTCCTTCGCTTCTTGACTTCAACGTTTGAGGGTCAGCACAGAGCTTTAGGATGAAGCAATCCTCACCGTTGATTTTCTTCTCTCCTATGCATTTTGCATCAGCAAACATCCTGGCTATTGTTCTAGGATCAAGACCCTGCAAAGACATAAGATATTGCATCTCAAACAAAATCAAGCAGAGTGAACACTCTGATAAAATGTCAACTTATAACAAAAATTTGGCTAACCAAAATCTTACCTGAAGTGCACGGCGCAGAGGTCGAACCGGCCCTTTGGCAGTGTGAGCACCAAGCCAGGGCGTGTGCCTCCAAACGAGCTTTCCATTGCACCCTGCATGAACTTTACTGCCTCCAACTGCAAGCTCTACATACCACATGTCTGGATTCATCTGCCAGAGCACAAAGCCACCCGACTCGGCTCGGGTCGAGGCATTTCTGCTCTTCATCACCTTTGTTGCTGTTTCAAACTCAGAGGCTACCATCCTAAGCTTCCCCATTGCATATGCATTTCTAATGGAGTTCTGAAGCTTCTGCCCACCAGATGCTGCTGTGTATTGTTGCAATATGTACTGAGCTGATGAAGTTTCCTGAAAATAAGAACAACCCACAAAAGATTAGCTCACTTGACTGCTTCTAGTTCAAGTACAAACTTAGACAGTAAAATTCCATAAGCAGAAGACAACTTATATGCTTTTATCCCAAATTTACACAACCAATCATTCACATTCAGTTCCTTCTTGAAGAAACAGAAGCAGATCTCAAGATTAGTTCAGGTAAACCCATCTGGGAAGCAAGAAGAAGGGTTTTGTTTCATTTCTCATGGCCAGCCAACAGCCATTTGATTATAAGCAGTACATCTCATTTAACTTCAAAAACAGAGAGAAGAGAGAAAAGAAAAGAAAAGAAATCTTTACTTCATTGTAAAAAAAGAAGGAAAAATTCATAGATGGGACAGAAATTTAAGTTGCAAAGTTAAATTCAGGATCCATTTCTGCGTTAACTTGCTCAAAAACTTGAAACAGAAGACAAATGAAAGAGAAGAAGAGAAGAAGCTTTCAGAATTAAGGAAGTGAAATGGTTTTTGAGAGAGAGAGAGAGAGAGAGAGAGAGAGAGAGAGAGAGAGAGACTGACAATGGGGGTATCTTTAATACTGAGGTGGGGTAGAGGATCGGAGGTGCTGACATGCACCGGAGCAAGAGGAGCTCCCATGACGCCGAGCAAGAGCCTCAAATCAGACCTCTTATTCGCCATGGAAGAAGCTATGGAAGGAGTTCGCGAGAGCTGGCCTTTCATCCACTGCCCCAACCCCGAACTCATCCTCTTAGATTCCCCAATTTCGCCGCCGTCCGGATCCGGCCCCTCCACCAGCGGCGTAAGAGCCTCCCCCACCGGCCGGAAACTGCCGGATCGCGCGATGAACTGCTGCGGAACGACCCCGCCGTGGCTGCCGTACTGATGCTTCTTCCTCCGTAGCAGGACGGAGAACGGCGACCCAGTTCTGGCCGGACTTTTGGCGCGAGAACGCGACGGCGACAGCCCGCGAATTACCTCCTCTTTCAGAACAGAGAAGAAGCTAGGTTTCTTCTCCATTGGAGAGAAGGGAAAAGAAAACGAAGAGAATGAGAAGAACCCAGAACTCGAAAAAGGACGATTTCGATTTCTGTAACTCGTAAGAAGAAGAAGAAGCCGAAAGAGGGAGAAATTTACAGAATGCAATGAAAAAGACTGATGGGTACTGAAGAATTACCCAAAACGAAAGCTAGAGAGAGAGAGGGGAGAGATTAGAGTGTAGGAATTAGGCAATGGAACAACTGCAGGGTGCCTGTGCAGCTTTTGCTTTTCATAGCATCAGAGAAAGAGAGAGAGAGTGGATTGTGATTCTAGAGAGAGAAAGGAAAGTGAATTGTTTTCTGCCATTAGAGAGAGCAAGGAGTGGAAAATCAAAATCAAAAACAAAAACAAAAAAAAGTCCATATCGCATATCGATTTCATTACTAATATCAGAAAAGAAAAACAATTTGTAAATAAAGAAGCTAAGTTTGACCACGTTTCTGTTCTTCCATTACAGTTCTTGTTCAAGAAAGAAAAACCCCATTTTTGGAGTGGGTTTGGGATTCAACCCATGATTAGAATTTGAACTCATTAGGGTTTTTGAAAAGTTCGAGAGAATTTAATCCTGTTAACATTTTTCGAACAAAAAAAGATTGATCCAAAATATTGTTAACTAGGTCAAAATTTGTGATTAGAAAATGAGAGCTTCAACAACCCTACAATACATTTCTTTCTCCAATATTCTTTTCTTTGGAATATAATATTAGAGATTTCAACAAAAAAAAATTACTGATCAAAACGAGAGAATTACAAAAACAATACATTACTTTTATATATAACATTATGTTTAGAATTTTACAAAAATGACTTAAATTCCAAACTTATACAATTACAATAAACTAACCAAAAATCAATTTTATGGTATTTTTGAAAAACAAAAACAAAAAATAACTATATTTTTTAAAATAAATATTCCTAAGTAATCCTCTCTACCGATATACTATGTGTTGAAAATAATAGGTTATATTACATGCTTATTCTCTAAATTATAATTGTATTTGATGTCAGGGGCTTATTAGATACAATATTAAAAGTTCAAAACTTTATTACACACTTCCAAAACGATGGAGCCAACAATTTCATGGATTAAACTTATAATTTTATAATCAAAATAATTATATTATTTAAATAATAAGTTGGAAATTTGTAGATATTTTTGAAATCTGACAAAATTTTCATATTTTAAAATCTTAATGTACAAGATTAACAAACACATATGTAGAAGTTTATATTCTTTTTTATTTTTGGAAATATGTCGTATAATCACACAAATAAAGTACCTGCATACACGCACACATGCACGATTATGATAAAATAAATTATATATGAACATAAAATGAAATATTTTAGTGAAAAAAAAAATCTTCTTTGTTTCTATTTTTGGAGTTTTTTTTTTTTCATTCTTCTTATTATAATATATTTAGTCTATTTAAGCTTACATCAAACATGGTTATTCTTAAGAATCTATAGTACAAACATTGAATATTTAAAGTACTGAAATCTCTAGGATTATTTAAGGTAGTAATTCAAAATTATGATCTTAAAATTTAAAATTTGCATCAAACATAGTTGTTCCTAAGAATCTATAGTCCAAACATTTTATGTTTTTTTTTTTCTTTTTGTTATTAATACCATCAAAACCATCGAGAATGATCATACTAATTTTTACGATTGGGAGGAATTTACTTTTTAGAAACGAGAGAGAATGAGAAGCATGATAGTGTATTGTTAGTGTTTACCTGATTCTCCACTCTTCTTTTTTATGCCAAATCAATAACTAAATTTTCCTTTATAAATAAATTTTTTTATTTTTTATTTTTTTGAGTACCAGAGTGGGGATTCATTTCGATTTCCATTTTAGAGTAAAAATGGTTAAAAGAATTTGGATCTCGTGATCTATATAATAAATTTTTATATCTACTTTTATGATGCTTAATTTAGATTTATTTTCGTTTTGGATACCAATGAAAAAAAGTCCATCATAATATATTTCTTTTTTGTTTCCATAAAAAAAAAACATTTAGAAAAAAAACACTATATGAGGAATTCTATTCATACTTCATAAATTTTTATTTCAATCATATTCATTTCGGTTTTTCCTTAGTAAGATTGTATTCGAGAATGCTTATAGGATAAGTATTCTTTTAGCACAAAATGCTTTTAAAAAAATCATTGGTTCTACACTTTAAAAGTTATTTCTAAGTGCAACTTGGTCAGATACTTTAAAGCTAAAAATACCCTAAAAGTCCTTCTTTTCACAAAACATTTTACAATACTTTTTGACTTTTTTTCAAAACACTTTATATATTACTTAAAAAATTCGTCATGTACTTTCATTGAAATAACGAATCAATCACTTTAGTTTAAAATTTGTAGCGATTTCATTTATGAACTTTAATATAGAACATTTAGTATCTATAGTTTAAAATTTGTAACAGTTTTTAATTTCTATATTGAAAAATTTTGATTTTTAGTTAAACAATTCTGAAATTCTGGGGGAAGATCGAACCATAAATCTTTAGATGTCTTTATCTTTTTTCTTTTAACTATCAATTTTTAGATGTCTTAATCTAATGAGATATCTTATCTACTAAACTATAAAAATTTTAAATTGCATGCACTAAATAAATTAAAAAAAAAAACTAAAAATAGACACTTCACATTATTGATAGAGATTTTTTTTAACAACTAAATGGTTATATATAAATTTTAAAATAAGAGTAGAATAACTAAATTTGTAATTTTACAATATTGAAAAAGTAATCGTTACTTTAATGATAAATGTAGTATCGAGGGCTTTTTTAGCCACCAAAATATAAAAAGTGATTTGATCAAGTCATCGAAATTTTAAATGTCGATGTAGATGAAAATATTGCTGATAAAACGTCAATAGATAAATATGGAAATGTTGTAAAAATAAAAAATTCGTAAAAAATATTTAAATTAACGAATAAACATTTCACCATTTTTAAATAAGCTAAAAATTATTAATATCAATATTATGTCTACATTAATAATATTTGTTAATTTCTTTTACAATACTATGAAAATCTCGATTTACTTCTTTTATGTGGATATCAAATCTATTGATACAAGAAAATATAAATGTTGACATGTCGATGGGAGTTTAATACCTTGCCGACTGTAAACACACTCAAACATAGGTTAAATGTAGGAAGTGAAGCAAACGCGCTAGGGAGGCGAGTGGGAGAAAATACGCGTGGAGTGGGTTTTTTGTGGAGTCCACCACTAGAAGATGCCACTTGAGTGAAAGCACTGCCATGTGACTGCACACTATCCGCCACGCGCTCACCCGCGCGTCCCAGTCCAATATACTTTTCCAAAACTTCTGACTTACAATATAATTTCAAAGTAATTTTTTATTTCCTTAAATTCCTAGGTTATATTATACAATCCCACTCTATATATTATAATAATAATAATAATAATAATAATAATAATAATAAGTGAGTTTTATTAAAATAATTAATAGTCAAATGATTATAAAAATAACCATGATTATTTAGTTGGAGTTAAAAAACTTTATTCTCTAGCTATGTTTTAATATGATTCTAATTTTTCTTTAGAATATCAAGTCAGATATGTATTAGTAAAGAATAAAATTTACGTGTCATAGCTTACTGTTAATTATTATTTTTTAATTATTTAAGCAAAGTAGATGTCCTTGTTGAAATAGGAAATTTATGTTATACGTTATTTCTAGATGGGGCAATTGTGACATTTTGTTTCAATGACATTGGAGTTCGTCCAATCGTATTAGTTTGAAAGACATGAATGTGAGTCAAATTTCAAAACGTTATTTCGATGATTTTAGGCTTTAATCCTATTGTGAAATGTAAGCAATAATATTTGTTTATTTTTTATGACTCGCCTCATAGGGCAAACTGTAATCCTATTTTGAAATATAAGCAAGAATATTTGTTTAATTTTTCGGACTCGCTTATAGTAACTAGGTTGCTTTTGTTGGTATTGATTTTTTAGCTATACTATACCTCTATTTTAAGTAAAACGATTAAAACAACACATCTTTCTTATAATTTTAAAATTATATGATTTTGTCCTATTTTAAGTTTAAACCTACGTGATTTTATTTTTAGACTTTATATATCGAAAAAATATCTAGTACCAAAATAATTATCAATTCTCTCCGTTCACACCATAACTTTTATTATAAATAATGTTTTAATATTGCTAGACCTCACGTTAATTTTAAATAATGCTGACATTACTGACGACGAAACAGATGAATATGTATATTTTCGTACTACTAAAATTTTGATTGCTTTTGGTCCATTTTAATTGATGTGATTTAAAGATCATGACACCTTTAGCTTTTGTTGATTTTAATTTATTTATTTTTGGTTTTGGTATTGTTGAGAATTAGCCAAATGTGAAGCTAAAAGTTGCTGCATTCGAATAGTCAAATAAACGCGTTTTGTTTTTAGCTTTTGGTGGAATCTTAAAACTTGGATTACGAATATTTTTTAAAATAATGCAATTTTGGTTCTTCCAATGAAGTTGCTCCCTCATATTATCCTTTTTATTTTTAGTTTTAGCCCATTATATATGTATATTATTGGAGGAAACCTGTCGAGAACCGACCTGAGGACTCCGACTTGGAACCTATAGTCTGTAATCGTTTGTTGGAACAATTCCAACGATCTTATCCCCTGTTGTCCATAAAAGAGACACCACTCCACTCACTTAGGTACGCAATTATGTCCAACTACGAGTACCTACAATAGTTTGAATCACTACTAATTTGAGCTTCATAGTGTTTGTTCCTTTCGTGTAGCTCACTTCTCGTGCAACTTACTTCTTCTTAACTCTCTCTGGTTTGACGCAGATCGATCTACTCGGTGGAATTTAGCATCATCAACTTATATTATTTTATTTCTTAGTCTAAGTCCAAATTTTCTTTGATAATGATCCTAAGCAATATAGTTTTTAGTTCATAGCCAAATCTATCTAAATATTAGTGGAAACGTAAATTGTTTTTTATTTAATTCGATGTTTGATTTTGACTTTAATATTTTAATTCATCGCTCATATATATATATATATATAAAGAAAACTCATATGTATAAACAATAAAATGAACTAAAAGAAAAAATTAACATGACACCTTTTTTATGGAGTAATGAGTACCTTATATACTGAGTCACTCGACAACACTATAGACAGAAATCTTATAACCAATTAACGACATAAATCTTATAACCAATTAACGAGATCTTCCTCCTCTCACGAAAATATCTAAACTCATAATTAGAAAAAAAAAATGATGTAACTTTAAAATCAATGCAAC